GGGAAGGGAAGGGAAGGGAAGGGAAGGGAAGGGAAGGGAAGGGAAGGGAAGGGAAAGGGAGACACAGCCCAATTTCTACTTTCCTGATGGCTACTTTAGACCTCTTTGCTGCTGGTTCTTAGCACAGGTGTCAGCTTCTTTTTTCACTTACTTCAAGGAAGGATTTATTCCGGTTTGCTTGTGAGAGAATCTTGTGCTCATGACAACAAAGTTCAGTGACAGCCTGTTCTGAGGCACAGAAGGCAATAGGCACAGTTCCAGCCTTCTCCCCCACACAGCTTTGCTTATAGACCTTCAATTCACCTGGAGATCCTTCCTCAAAGAGCTCTGCCAAAACACTTGGGGTGAAACACCAGCTGGTATTTTATTCTATTCTGCTACACTGGGCCACTGGTGAGCCCAGCTTGCCCCCTGTGCTGCACTTTTTGCCACATCTCTGGCACACTAGAGCAGATCTAGTGCCTAATCTCATGGCCTTGTCAACAGCCTGTTCAACCCATGGCTCTGTTCAGGAGTGATGCTTCAGAAGTGGTTTCTTCAAAACCAGTGATCCATGATGACAATTCTTTTTTGCCACCTACTTGCACCTTTGTGTACAGTTAATCCAGGCTGGATATAAGACATTCCTGCCATTATTAGCATCTTTCTACCCCTCCCTCTGCACCAGCCTTCTGAATTTCCTTTAGCACTTTATTGTTATTGCCATCAGCTTGATACTACATCTAGCTCTCTGACTGCTGATTTTCTATTATAGCTATTCAATGGTACATTTTGTTAGAGCTTTTATATTCATGTAATTTGATTGGTTGTGTTCTCTCATTCTTAACAATTCTTCTCTGCAGGGATGACCTATTCAGTTATTGCTATGCAGTTTGTATCCTGGTATTATAATGTTCCACTGATTATCTTCCCTCCACTAAGCTTCCAGGTTGTCTGTTTTAACAATACCTCTCTCTTAAATGGAGTATCGCATATTTAGATTTTTTTAGAGGCTGTACCGGCTTCCAGTTTCTCCTTTTTCAACCCCCAAAGGGTATAACTTTCTCTTTTTTTGACTTTTTAAATTATTATTCCCCAGAAAAACGAGCTAACTTAATCCGTGTGCTTTTTCATGCTTCTCAGCTTTCCTTTGCCTCTACCAAAGTTTTTCCCAACGACATTTATTTCCCGTTTCCCCTTCCCTCACCCATAGAAACAATGATGAAACCAGGTGACAAAGAATCCCATGTTTTACTGCAAAAAGCTACAAGAACCAATACATATATTAGAACAATTTCCAGTTTGCGTTGGGAAAGACATTTTACTTGTTTCAAATGTCAGACTCTTGGAAAGGGAAGTTAACCTCGTGGAGAAGAGATGCTTTTTAGCAAACATTGTGTACACTTCTGTTTTGCTTTAGTTTCTTCTTTTACTTGTGGTATTTCCCAGAGCTGAGAAACATACGAATGAGGTTGTGTTTGTTGCTGATTGCTGAGCATGTTACTTTTATTATCTTTCTTTAAAGATTAAGAATATACCTTGCATACATGAGATTTATACAATTGGTTTAATTTCTTTTCTCCCTTACTCTCTTACAGCTGTTTTTTTACAAATTAAACACAAAGAAAAAGGTCCAGTTGTTTTGGAAGGAACAGGGGAGGGAAGGGAAGGTTGTGGCTAGATGATAAATACAATTTTTGATTGATTTAGTCATGAAAAATTACTCCCCTGTTCTCCCTTCTCCCTTAATAATTTCATATTGCTATTTATACTCTGTAGCAAAAAAAAAAAAAAAAAAAAAGACAATGCCCAGGTATTCATAGTTCAGATTCCAGTTTCTTCTGTTTCCTGAGTGTATTGAATCTCCACAGAGGCCACCCTCTTCCCATGAGAGAACAAGACAAAAGAATCAAGAAAACATTTATCCAAATAACTTCAGGGACAGCACATTTTGTAGCTCTGTAATGGGAATCTGGGCTGAAAAATGAGAAGACATTCTATTACATCGAAATCCAAGGCCAGCATCTGGGGTTCTCGGCGCCTATCTTGTCCTAAAAATAAAGTTGTTTTTAAGCATTAGAGGAAGAAAGAAGAAGCAAACAATGCCACCAGGAATCAGCCTCGATCGTTCTCATACATCTGCACTCAGCTTATTGTCAGGAGGCTTGCAGCTGAGTGTCTCCTCACTCTGATATCAAACAGCAATTGCATGACATGACAAGATATCCTTAGTCAGTCCCAACCCCACAATCTTACCCTCAACGTGTAAATGATGGATATAACATGGGAAATATAACCATGTCAGACACGAAGTTAGGTTAAAGACTCAGCTTTCCAGAAAAACAGTCCAGTTCCTGAACCACTAAGCAGTTTCTACTCCTTCTGTTATCCCTCTGTTATCTGTAGTCAGTTTCCCATCAGGAACAACTGAGCACAGGTTTTTCTCTTGGCTAATGTCTCGATTTCAGGCAGGATTCACTTCCTGAACCATAAGCATCTGATGCAATTTGGGACAGCCAAGGCACTGAGAACATTCCCATCCAGGTGACAAATATAACATAGTGTTCATGTCAGTCCCAACCCCACAATCTTACCCTCAACGTGTAAATGATGGATACAAGGTTGGCAGCTGGATGACAAATATAACATAGTGTTCATGGGATTCACGGATTCATGGAATTGTCAGAGTCGGAAAGGACCTCTAGAGATCATCTAGTCCAACTCCCCAATTTTTGTCTTTCTCAAGGTTGGCAGCTGGACTCACTGCATCTATGTCCCTTCTTTGGAAGGGGTGACTCTGCATGGTCCATCTAACTGGACCTCCTTTAGGTCTGGAAACAGAGATATCCTGTTTTCATGTAGACACGTACTTGTAGACATCTTAATCTGATGGGAGCTTGTCCCTTCTTTGGAAGGGGTGAATGACTCTGCATGGTCCATCTAACTGGACCTCCTTTAGGTCTGGAAACACAAGTACTTGTAGGCATCTTAATCTGATGTGAGTCGAGGAAGACTATGTCAACCAGTCAAACACTGGTGGCTTATTGTAGGATTTCACCTACCATCACATGAACTCAAGCCATGGGGCTCAATTCACTTCCCCACACCTCAGCACCTGGAGCCAGCTGAGATGTCCTAGAGTACCCTGCTTGGCTACCAACTGCCAGAAAGCACTAGTCTGCCACGGGCACTGCATCCCATCTGTGAGGCCATGGATGTAGGAGACACCTGGAGCATCTCAAACAACAACATGAACCTACATGTGGGACACCAAATTTACCCTCTGGGTACACACTATGGACTGTCCCTCCAGCTGTATTGCTCTACTACTTGAGCTTATATATTTAAAGTTAAATAGGGTGGTTTTGTATCACAAGCTTTATATTGGAGAAGTAGGAATCTGAACAACTCTGGCAACATCCAGGCTGCTACCAAAGATGTTCTTTCCCAGCATTTTGGGCTGTTTGATCAGCTCCCACGAATGGATCTGCACCCAAGAGATAGGCCATGACATAAAGTTATAGTTGTGTAGCCAAACTGGGGGTGTTTTCTACAGCAACGTCTACTGTGAAGGAAGACTAGTTGACTACAATTCTGCAGAACACTGAAGAAAAAGAAAAAACCAAAACATTAGAAGAGTCACTAATTGAAGATGCAATTGATTACTCTGTGTTATAAATAGTATGTAGCACCTGGGGACAAGGTGGACCAGTGGAAAGACTTTATGTAAAAAAAGTCAATATATAGTAGTCACAACTGTGTTTAGAAAATAAAGAAAGGGAAAAGGAAAGACACAATTCAGTTCTTATACTGGGAGGCAGCTCTAGCTTTCCTCCAGCTTATAGGAAAGGCCAAGAAACACGAGCCATTACTTTATTTTTCGACTCAGATCCAGATTCCCACCGGGTTAAACTCCAGTGTTTTGGGATTTGTTTGTTATATGCTCTATGGCAAAAGGCCATCACCCTTTCAAGGATAAAGACTGCATTTGTCTTTCCCTAAACATGCCAACAGCCACACAACAGGGAGTGGAAGATGCCACCCCTGAATGACGCCCATCATGGCTCATTGGCAAACCAGTAGCACGTTGGTTCTATGTGAGTCAGGAGCTCTCAGCTCCCTTTCCAAACCCATCATAAGGAAAGACTTTTTTGCTGGCTCCTGTTCTGCAGCTCCCAACCCTGTTCCAGCTTCACATCCTATCACTGCTTCACTTGTCTTCTTTCATGGCTGACGTTGCTTTAGGTGACTAGAAAGAATTTTGGCATCGGAATGGGTATTTCCTATGGCAACAGGTTTAGGATAAGATTAAGGATTGAAAATATCTCTAAACAACAAGTTAGGATCATGCTAACTGTGGGATTACCCGCTAGGGCTGTGAGCCAGTCCAGATCTTTGGAATCAAAAACTGGGAGCCAGTAAGGGAAAACTGAGTGTATGTTCAGAGAGGATAAATGCCTTTACGAAAGAAAACTGGACCATAATAAGAAAAGAAACCCAGTCATTTTTTTTTTTAAGCCAGTTCCCATTTTGTTCAATCAAGTCTTGGAACAAAAGTCCCAAAAACCTGGATGTGACTCCTACTTAACTCCCTCTCTGGGGTGCCAGTGAACATAATCAAAAGTCACCACAAAACAGACAGGTCTCAGCGGGCTGGGATAAAATGAGCTCCAAAAACAAAACAAAAGCAGGCCTGGTCAGGACAGAGTAGAAAAATAAACCAAAGCAGAAGAAAAAAAACAACCCCAAACAAACAAACAAACCCCAAAATAATCAGAACAAATCTGAAAGAAGCCACTGCTTTTCCCAGTTTATCAGACACTTTGCAGAATAGATGGAGTTGGTTAACTCTCAGGTCAAACCTTCCCCAAGAGCTGAACAGAGATAAATAATGGTGAATGCCAGCTGAAAACATCGGGCACCTTTTCCAGGAATATAAAAATAAATGATGACCAGGAAATACTGGAAATAAAGTTCAGCTCATTTGCATTGGTGAGACAAAGATACCCTTAATGATACTGTGGTTTGGACAACACTACTGAATAAAGCCAGAAGAGATGCTGGACAAAGCTCATGTCTTTTCCTGGAAAACCAACCAATTTGCCAGGAGATGTTGGGAGCCAGATTTATGAAAGGCCAATAATTATCCTCCTAGTGTAGGTTCAGCAACAAAAGCATGTATTACTCCATCTTATCTGCCTTTCCCTGTATTTTTGCCCACTGTTTCTCTAGTCAGCTCAATTCTATCTCTGTGCTTTTTTTGGAGATGGCTAGGAGCAGGGCCTTGTAAGTGGATGTGAAAAATATGCATCCTTTGAGGTTTCCAGTCAATCATAAAGGAATGAGGACTTGTTCTCTGGAAGTCAAATCATTTTAGGATATGTTATGTTGGACTTCTAAAATAAAGGCATCCAGATTTACTGGACAATTGCAGAAAGGTCACCAATTTTCTGTGCATTCAATAGGATACAGGTAACATTTTACTCGGTCTTGTCCTACTTCCTCATACAGTGTGTTGAAAATATTCACTCTCTTTGATTAGTCACATACATACTCTTCAAGCCTATCTGAGATGCCAAAAGCAAAATAATTGGATATGCAAGGAGGAGAGAAGAGACTCACCTGGCATTCAGTTAGCCATGATGTGTTTCACGAAAGCTGGAAAAAGGAGAAAGAGAAGGGTCATTTATCAATTCCTTTTCATTGAACTCAAGAACATCCTGGGCTCTTTTTCTCCCTCTGATGCAATGAAGATTATACTTTGTAAATAAGATTCAAGAAACCAGATGTTAAACTCTTTGTAAGTCCTTAAGATAATATATATCATAGAATCATAGAATGGTTTGGGTCAGAAGGTATATTAAAGATCATTGATTTCCAACTCCCCTGCCCTGGGCAAGGACACCTCCCACTAGAGCAGGTTGCTCAAAGACCCATCCAACCTGGTCTTGAATACCTCCAGGGATGGGGCAGCCACAGCTTCCCTGGGCAACCTGTTCCCATGTCTCACCACCCTCACGGTAAAGAATTTCCTCCTAATATCAGTTTAAATCTCCCCTCTTTCTGTTTAAAACCATTACCCCTCATCCTATCACTCCACTCCCTCATAAAGAGTCCCTCCCTATCTCTCCTGTAGGACCCCTTTAGATACTGGAAGGGACTCTAAGGTCTCCCTGGAGCCTTGTCTTCTCCGGTGCAGTGTCACTAGCAGTCTAGGTAGCCAGTGGAAATGAACACACGCATCAGTCAACCCATAGCTTGCTTAATTCCTTCCCCTTGGCTGCCACACGGAACTGGCTTTTCAGAGTATGCAGCCATGAGAAACTCTGAGTCCTCATCTTGCAAAGATTTTGAGACTTTAGCACATTTCTACTAAGTCAGGAGGCACTGATAGTGCCTCTGGAGTGAACCTCCAGCATCCACAGCAGGTCACCGCGTCAGGTATCCTGACTATATCTCTCCAGTGAACTCAGGTTTACAAACCAACAAAGTCAAATTATGCTTTGCTTCAAAATATTTTGGGTTCCATTCTTCTCCAGTTACAAAAAGCATTCATTATATATAATTTTGAAATTCAAAAGGAAAAGCCAACATACATTTTGCAGCAAGGAAATATTTTTTTCCTTTCCAATAATCCCCCTATGCTATGAATTTATCTGAATTCAACTTAAGTTCATGAGTCATTTAGGTTGGCTAAATCTACAGATTTCTACCAATAAACTGCTTGTAAGAAATGTTTCCCTGAGCTCAGACCACTGGTATTTGTAAATAGGAGGAGACCACCAACCCAAATACTTATGAAAGGCTCAGTGAATATGACAGACCAGCTAAATCCCCAAGACGGTCAACGGTCAGTCACACATCAGCCTTAAGGACTCAGCTGTGTATGAAAATGTGTGTTCATGATCCCTACCAGAATGTTGTGGTTTTGTTGAGCAGCCTGAAGCATGTAGGCTTGCAAGATGCAAGAGAGAACCATGCTCCAGGTACTCATGACCAAATCCTTTTATTCTGGCTTTCTACAGTAGACATAAAATAAAATGGAAAGTCTTTGGAAGATCTTGTAGGATTCTCAGGACACCAAAGAGGATACTAAGGGTAACAATTTTTGCTGAGTTTTTGAAGGAAAACTTAGTGATTTTCTGTAAAGAAGTCACAAATGGTATGTATCTCTTTTTGAGAGGACAAAGAACTGTGGTAGAAGGTAAAAAAAAGAATGTAAAAATTAAAAAGAAAAGGTAAACAAAAGAAGAATATACAGCCCCACCTCCTGAAGGGACCATGTCCATTCAGCTTGGAATAGGGTATGTCAGGTGAGTTATAGAATCTGAATTGGTTCTAAAATTTGTGAAAGCACATATCCTGCTCCAGATCTTCCACAGAATTAAACTTTGTCAGGATAACTGCAACAAAGCCTTCAAGCACATGAGCACTGCTCAGTCTGGAGTGGTCATACCTACCTTCATAGTTGATACAGCCATTGGCATCTTCCTGACCAGCCATTAGCTTATCAACTTCATCTTCAGTCAGCCTCTCACCTGGGTGGAAAACAAAATGCCTCTTCAGTACCTGGGCCCTTTCAGAAGAATTTAAGAAACACAGTTCAAAGAACCAGTAAATACAAAAAAAGAGTGAGAGAGAAGAGGAGGAGATTTCCTCTTCAGTTTAATTTGTGGTGCTGACTGCTCGGAATGCTACTTCTGTACTTGCAAACTGAGAAAATTTGATCTGAAAACCAAAAAGACAGAATAAATATGGAAACCCACATGATATCATGTTCACATACTCGTTTTTCTAAGAATAAACTTTTTCTAAGTGCCAGATCTTGAAGGTTTTACTGACTTTTTAACTATGTCCTCACTAAGCAAACTCTTAGAGTCATGATTTAGTTTGCCTTTGAGTTTGATATTCAGGAGGATTCCAAGGCCAAACTTAGGCCTTCTGATTTGGATCAGTGATCCATTCCAATTAATTTAATTATCTAAATATTAGGTGCCTATTTGCCTGCAAGGTTTCATTTTAGTTAAGCAGAGATCAACCCAGTCCATCCCCTTATTCTAATATTAGGCACTGATTTTTAGAATGAGATCAAATGAGTTCCAGAAAAGCAAACAAAAAATTTGAGGGTGATTTCAGCTGAAATCATAGAAATGAAAATAAAATAAAATGCATTGGGTGTGCCCTGCTACTCATGCTGTTCCACTTTTCCGTCACTGAATTCTTGCACACAGGAGCAGCTGATGTGAATCTGTGAAAATGTAACTGATTTTTTGAAAACTGAAAAGAAAAGCATACTAATTTACAGAATATTTGTCTATGCGTAGGATTTGACCAGTATTTGGCGATGTCGCTCTAAACAGAACTGTTAACTCCTGAGATTGAAATATTTTCTATCTGCGCTTGAAAATCAAACTTCATCACATTTTTCTGGGTTACTGAAAATAGAACAGTAAGTGTAAAGTTAGTTCTTGTAGTACCATGACACTCACAAAACTGCTGAGAGTGATCCCAGATAAAGTTAGAAAGGGCATCCTGACCCTGGTGGGGTTGTTTTGTCCTCACTGAATTTGGTCCCCAAACCCATCCAATAGCATCAGCGATAAAAAGGAAAAGAACATTGTTTTTTTTTTTTCTTATTCTTCATTTCATTAATAGAGATGGATGTGTCATCGAATGAAAACCCCCTGGGCATAAAAGGTTCGGCTTTTTGAATAGATACCCTAGGTCAAAACACATCATTGGAATCCTATGGTCTAAATCAAATCTCTTTGGTAAAGGCTCATCCTTTTTTTTTTTTTTTTTAAATAGTGGATAAACTATAATAGAAAAGGCTGGTCTTGAGAAATGCTTACTGGATTCAGATCACAACATGTCAGTGCCTCCTAATCCAAATTGGAAACCTGTCATTAAGTTACAGCCAAATTTTCTATCCTGCACTCATTCTGTTGCCATCACTCCCTGTGAAAAACTGAGCTTCTGAAGTCAAAATTTGAAAGGACAGAGAAATATTGATCCTTACTTTAAAAACAGGAGCTTTAAATTTCAGGGACATTTCTGTTAAACAAATGACTGATAGAAAAGTGTTTCATCTTAACAATTTTCTTGAAGGTACAGAAAAATGGAGACAAATATTGAAGGAAGAATAGATGGGGTTTCCAATGTTTGGCTAAGTTTATGGTGATGGAAATATTTATTGGAGAAATAAATCACTGAGGGAAGGAAGGAAGGAAGGAAGGAAAAATAAACACCCAAGTGTTTGAGTTGCAGGTCAGTAATTTTTAGCTTCAATTTTAAATAACTTTTTTGGTCTTTATAACTGAGGACAATGTGATGGCCAAAGTCTTGCTCAGACATCTTTTGCATAAAGGTTACCCAGAATGATAAAATGAGTATAGAAAAGACTTCAGTGATGAAACTGCATGAGGAATGGTTCACCTTACCCAGCGTAGCCAAAACGTGGCGGAGTTCAGCCCCCATCACTGTTCCATTTCCCTCCTTGTCGAACACACGCAGACCCTCCACGAAGTCCTCATAGGTGCCCGTGTCTTTCGTCTTGGCAATATGCTGGAGCATGGGCAGGAAGGTCTCAAAGTCAATCATCTTGGAGTTCATCTCTACAAAGACACAGATGGAGATGTAAGTTTCGGTGGATTCGGGGAGAGTTGAGAACTAATCGTGGGGCGTCCACCATGGGTAGGTGGTGAGGGTAGGAGAACTGTGGTAGTAAATGTCAGCTAAAGGGGAGAAAAGAAAATAGAAATACTCTAAGTACAGATGAAAGAATGGGTAGAGTGGGAAAGAGGCCTGGCAAAGAGAGAAGTAGAGGGATACGTCTTAGCACTTTACATATGCAAACATCAAGGAAAGAAATTACTATGAGAATCCCAAGACTGCTTTATGCAGCGTAAAAGTATGAAACTAAGCAGAAGACAGTAAGAGAAGCTCATTGCCAACATGAAATCAGCTTTGCTTTGCAGCCCTGTAACACAGAGATGTTTAAAACTATCCTGGGAGAGGAGTTTCAGAGCAAATAGGCAGGACCAGGTCCATGATTCCCATTTTCCTGATTCTTTGCCTTTCAAGAGCATCAGAGAGCATTTTGTTCCCATATGTCTCCTTGTCCCACCTGCCACTGTGTCACTGCCATATCCTGGCATATCACAGCTGTCGAATGAGGGCCAAATTGTCAGCTCCACCTCAGCTGAAGGAAAGGACAGAGAAATAGCCTAGAAATACCTAGAAATGGTTTGGGAGACATCTCCTTTGTTCTGAAGAGATATCTGGTGTATGGTGACAGTTGAAGGGACATATTACTGCAATTATTACAGACCCTCTAATACATACTTTTGTAGAACAAACTATTTCCTCTCATTCAATCTGTGCCTTTGTGTCTTTGGATGTTTTCAAAACGTCTGCATTTTCAGTATACGCAAGTGAATGCCTGTCATCAAAGCAATGTTAAAAGGCCAAAACTTGTCAGTGTGAAACAGATTGACGCACAGGGCCATTAAATTAATTCATTCTCTTGAATTTAAGACAATTATATTGACTGCAAGATCACTTTTTTCCTCCTTTACTTTTCTGCTAGTGATTTGCAGAGGCTCTTCCATATTCTCTGTTATTTCACAATTAATCTTTCCATCAGAAAATGCAGACCTCACCTGCTTCTCAGATATTTCTTGGAGTGATCATTTTCAAAACAAACACAGAGGAGGACACCAACCTTCTGGTTTGGGTCTGCCAAGCAGTTTCATGACCTCGGCCTGGGTTGGGTTCTGCCCCAAAGCTCTCAAGACGTCTCCGCATTGTGCGTATGTGATTTTCATCTCAGATTTAGGAGTCCGGTCGAAGAGTGAGAACGCTTCCTTAAATTCTGGAAGACAAAATGATAAAAGGAAACGCATGCTGTGCTCCCTCAGATAATGTCAAAGCAAGCCTAGACCTTCCCCCTAACTAACTCTGCCTGACCCTTTTATTTTGCAGTTTGGGAACGAGTTTGATGAGCTTTGTTATTGCTGTTATCTGCAATGTTTGTGTTCCTCTTCCCCTGCATTTTCCGGTTCAATGAGGGAATGGAATCAGAGAGGTCAAATGCTCTTCTCATGGTATTTCCATCTCAGCTAATATCAGGAAGAGCAAAAAACCTTATAGAAATTACTGGCTTTGAGAGCTTTCCAGCTCTTCAGGCGCACTTGGGATGGTAGAGAATTCAGTAGCAGTTCTCATTAGTTAACTGGATATTGTACTCAGCATTATACAGAATTCTGGCCTCCCAGGTTCAAGAAGGACAGGGAACTGCTGGAGAGGGTACAGCAAAGGGCTACAAAGATGATGAGGGGACTGGAACATCTCTCTTATGAGGAAAGGCTGAGGGACTTGACTCTTTTCAGTCTGGGAAAGAGAAGATTGAGGGGGGACCTTATAAATGCTTATAAATTCCTAAAGGGTGGGTGTCAGGAGGATGGGGCCAGTCTTTTTTTCAGTGGTGCCCAGGGACAGGACAAGAGGGAACGGGCACAAACTTGGACATAGGAAGTTCCATCTAAACTGAGGAGGAACTTATTTCCTTTAAAGGTGGCAGAGCCCTGGATTGACTTTAAAGCTGTGAATCCCAAAATCTGCCCCTTGCCCTGCTGTTACTCTTCTGTGTAAATTTCCCTCCTACTTTTCAAACACAGTGAGGCTGTAATTTTTTTTCCCCATAGAACCTGACTCATTCAACCATTCATCCATGGGCTCTGCATTCTGGATTTTCTCCATCTTTGCCTTCTCAATTCCTCCTTATTATTCCCCCTCCCTCTTCTTTGTTCCTCCTACTTTGCTTATTTCCCTCTCTCCTTCCTTCTTCCAGTGCGGCTGGGTTTGCCTCTCCTTCTTTTTCCCTCCTTTTTAATTTTTATCATTCCACTCATATCTTACTCATTTCCTTCCTCATCTGAGACTTTCAAACAGTGATGCATTTTCTCATTTTTTGGTCTATTTAATGTTCCCTTTGTTTTCTTCTTTGCATTCCCCGCTTTGGTCCCTCTCTCTGTGTTTCTCTCTCCTGGATCTTTTCCTCCTCCACCACCGGCCAGAGCTCAGGTCCCATTGGCAGCTCTGGCTCCAGCAGAGGGCAATAGTGGATTTTCACGGGCTCTTTGCTGACAGTGGAAGGGTCCAGAGCCCCACTCCCACATCTGTCCTTTACTGGGGGCCTCAGCAGCTGAGGTGGGTAAGAAATACACGTACTTCCCTGAGCTACTCACCCATCTGCCACTTACCTACTCCCTGAGACCAATTGCCTGAGCACCCTTCACACCACCTCCTAAAAGTTCCACATTCATCATAGTTACTGACAGTTCACATTCATCCCCTTTGTTTTCTTCTTTGCATTCCCCGCTTTGGTCCCTCTCTCTGTGTTTCTCTCTCCTGGATCTTTTCCTCCTCCACCACCGGCCAGAGCTCAGGTCCCATTGGCAGCTCTGGCTCCAGCAGAGGGCAATAGTGGATTTTCACGGGCTCTTTGCTGACAGTGGAAGGGTCCAGAGCCCCACTCCCACATCTGTCCTTTACTGGGGGCCTCAGCAGCTGAGGTGGGTAAGAAATACACGTACTTCCCTGAGCTACTCACCCATCTGCCACTTACCTACTCCCTGAGACCAATTGCCTGAGCACCCTTCACACCACCTCCTAAAAGTTCCACATTCATCATAGTTACTGACAGTTCACATTCATCTCTTTCCCTTCTTTTTTTTTTTTTTTTTTAAATTCAGTTTAAAATCAGATGTAACTGCCTCTCACCAGCGCGTTCGTTCTGTGGGTTTGGAAACCCCATTTTGTCAATATACACAAGCAATTGTTTTGGTTGGGGATTTTTTTTTTTTTTTTTCATTTGCATTTACGTTTACTGGTTTAGTGCAAGTTCCCATCAAAGCAATGAAGCCAGCATGGCTATGGCCTCCTTTATCCTCCTTCTAGCCAGTAAACCACTGGCAGGAGCAGTGTATATTTTCACATGCTTAATTGCTACCTATCTTCTCATCTTGAATAGCTCATATTCTTCTTTTTTCAGCAATTTAAGGGGATGAATAGACCAGGAATCCAGTTTCATAAATACACATTGCCACAACCGATGAATTTCACTGGCAGTTGAGGCAGGAGGACATGTAAAGATGGGTGTGTTACACATGGCTTCACCCACAGACCACTCTTCTCCTTCAGCAAGTAATATTTTGAGGACTAACATAATAATGAATCCTTGCAGGGAAGTAAGTCTAGGGTAACAAAGTCTTTTCATTTGCAAGAGGAAGAGGTGCAGAGTAAACTAGAAGACAGGGCTGAAAAAGGCCAAAGACCTTGAGATGCTGCATTGCCTGTTTCTCCTCCACCACCTGAATTCAGAGTCGGCTGCCAGAAAACCAGTTGAGGTCAGAAAACCAGGGGTGATAGACTGACAGCCAGTAATATCTAACACCTGGGATGAACTCCCTATTGATCTAATTTCAGCTGACAAATGGGGAAGCATCTTTCACTGAGACACCTTGGTCCTCATCTGGTCAACAGAGAGAGAAAGAAGTGGTTATTATGCATTAGAGGTCTATTTTTAAACAAACACATATAAAGGTGTGACAAGTGACCTTGACCTCCTGATGACTTCCTGAAAGAGGAAATTTGACAAAATTAACAGTGCAGCGTGGAGCTGAAAATGAACCCAGAACAAAGCAAGTGCAACTGAAACTCAGAAGAAAAGGAGAGCAGGCAATCATGGAAGCTTGAGAGTGAGGAGAGAATGGGAAGGAGAAAACAAATCAAAAAAGACATATTAATCCAGAGTCCCTGTGAGTGCCAGCTCCCGAGTCACACCAACAACCAGTATAACAGCTATAAATCATGGCAAGTGGTGCTTGCCTTCTAGCCTGTGCTTTTCACACAAAATAAAACAGTCTCAAACACTGGAATACTGATTGTCAGCTTTCTTCAACTGGTGGCACATTTCTTGGCAAGGTTTTGACATGTGCAAACTACTGTAAAGGACAACACATGCCAGGGACAATCCAGGAACAATTGTGGACCATGCTGTAGATATAATTCTACATCTGAAACAAATAAGCTCTACCTAAGAGTAAATATCTATTTAGCAACTATCAACCTGTCTGCCTACTCATTTATGAACCTAAGAATCTTTTAAAGGTCAGGTGAAAGAGAGTAAAGAAAAAAAAAAAAAAGGAGAGGAGAACAGGAATTGAGGAGCTGATTGATGAACTGTGATCAGTCCCCAGGTGTGGTTAAGGGGTTAAGGCAACTTTCTGTTTGTAGAGGTGGCCTTCATCTGCTTTAGACCTGCTACCTTCTATAGCAGCCCTGGGGTTGCTCCAAACTTGCCCTTTCCTAGCCATTCCAGTGGCCTGCTCGCCACACAAGCATCACATTGTTTTCTGAATAGGTCTTTTCCCATTCTCTGATATAGTCTAGAAATTAGTGCTGATGTTTTGCTTTGAAAGGAAAAAAAATAATGCCATCACTGTCATTATCTGCTGGTTTCTGGAGAGCTGTCACAAAACTGTGACAAATTAAGTTCTGATTGAATACAGAAAAAAGTTCTTAACAGCAGAGTTTGTGAAAGGATTGGTATTTTGTTAGCAGTTTTTTTAAAGAGCATTTATTTGGACAGAGGTTTTGAGGGGGTTGGGCTTTTTCTTTTTCGGTTTTGTCGCATTGGTAAATGAGGCTGATGTTTTCCTGAATGAAATGAGTACCTAATTTGCATGCTGCCTGACTTTCCCCCTTTTCTCTTGATCAGCTCAACAAAGGATTTGGAGGAAGGACAGAGAACGAGCAAAGCCATGACTTAAAAGTATGGAGGTCAACTCCCTTCTCAGGGAAGTTCCAATACCACACCCATGTCCACCCCAGCACTTGCCAGCACTTCCCAGTGATGGTATTTACTGTGCACGGAAGAGAAACTCATTTTCCTCACCTTCAATCTGATCAGGGGTGAATTCAACCTGGAAGAGACAAAGAATAAAAAGCCAGATGAAGTTAGAAATCTGAAGCAAATAAGAAGAGAGGTGGGTTGGTGCCCGTGTTATGGTTCTGGGTGCTTGTGAGGTCCATGAAAAATACAGACTCATAAATCTAAGAAAATAATTTAATAGAGCTGATAGATTCTTCTTCTTTCCTCCTCCACTTTCCCTATTCACCACTCCCACCTTCACGATCTCCATCCCCACCACAAGGCTGCAGATTCCCTTTGTCCATTCCTCTGCTCCTCCTGTGTTCTTGCTGTAGTCTCTTTCCCTGTCCCAAGTGACTGCCCATCGCTGATGTAACACCATGGTGAATCCCAGACTACTTCACTGAAAGGGTTTTATCCATAGACAGATGGAGATCTAGTATCCTTAGTCTTGTCCAGCAGAAGAACTGGGTGGTATCAAGTGAATCAGGCTCAAAGAAAAGTGAAGGAAATGGGTTTTTGCTCTTCTAGATAAGTTGTGGAAAGCTGGTCATGGGACACTGTGGATATTCACAGCCCACGTGTGTGTAAAGTGTCACAGGACCCCTCCCTGGAAAAGAAATCCATTTCTGTTCATTATAAAATGTACAGAAATACTCAGTTTAGGAATTCTCTGGCTGATGTTTAGGAGACTATTTTTTGAGGGGTTTTTCCCTGTTCTTGAACCTTTTCCTAAAGCATGCCCTAATAACCACTGCTGTACTAAACTGGTCATCTCTGGACCTTGCTGTGACTCTGCCACCTGCTCTTGTTTTCTTATCACTTCCTATTTCCCCATTTCCAAAGTTTTAGGGTTTTTCCACTTCCTATTTTTTCATAGCACTGCCCTCTTGCAACTCTGGACTTCAAAAATGGTCCAAAATCACAACAGGCTGCTGCTGAGCTCCAAGGCAAAAGAAGGAAACACAGTGTCAGAACATGAGGACTGAGCTTCAACTTGACTTCTACTTGAAGCTCGAATGACTAGGCCCAGGTCAGCAATGTGAATTTACACCAGAATTTACATCTCCTGTCAGGAAAAAACAACAGTGTGGGTGTCTCTGCTGATAGGGGCATTCCTGCAGTGCCCTTATGACAAACAAATAATTAAATAAACCCCATAATTTGGTATGGATAAACATGCAAATGCCTATGTATAAAGCATACAGTTGGGAGAGACCTAACAGTCCCTGAACACACACCCTTGGAATCATCCCTCTATGGATATTTATGACCCTTCTCCCCAACACATGTACAACTCTACACATTTTTAGTCAGATTTTCCATTTAAAGCTGACCACCTCTCATTGTTTAGCACCATATTTTGTTCCTTGGTAGCAAAGCAGGCAAATGGAACCAAGGCACAGTGAGAACCTCAAATGCAAACTCCCTTTTTCCTTGTTTCAAGGTGAAATGCAAAATGACACATCCCTTCATCATCTACTTGGGATTTTCATAATATTAAAGGGCGGAGCTGTTGTAACTCCTTGGCTCTCCAGCCAGGATGGCTGTGAGATGGGAGAGCATGCTGACACCAACCTCTTCCACCCAGGACTCAGTGGACAGCCCGCAGATGGTTTTCTGTCTCCAGACACCCTGACCACCACAAGGAGCTTTAACATTCATAACACACAATGAGGGCAGATAGAGATATTCCAAAACTCATATTTCCTACCAGTACCCTCCCTATCTCTCCCTACCGTGGCATTTCTGAGCATCTTCTGGTTTAGGAGAAGGAAGAACCAGAAAACATCTGGTGGACTTGGAAGGCAGAACTCAACACTAATCCTCCAATTGTTGAAAATCAGGCTTCTATTTTTGTGTCTGCCCTGTTCAGTCCTTATCTGAACTAGCTCATTCAGGGGATTACCGCTTTGTTTGCATTTCTTAGTCATGATTTACCTTGAATGAAATCCAATTAATAAAATAGTTACCTAAGTGTAAGCCAGGACGCTGTCTGGAAGGAAGAATTTTATTTAAAGCATGCAAGAAAGGAGCCCCCCCAGAGAATAGCAATGCTCTTCCCTTTCCTAACACATGGAGGGATCCAAACACATCTTTGTCATGGAGATTATAATTATCTAGATTGGGTCCTATCCCAGATCCGCATACCTTCATTTAATTAGAAATAAAAACCCATCAGGGGACACATTTGTACAGGTGCATTGTCAGCAGCAGCCTTATTGCCCAGTGTGTCTAATTATATCAAGCTTTGAGAATTTGAGGTAGGCTAATTGTATATTGAGTTTATCCAAGCATCAATAGCCAGTGTGGGTGAAGTAAGGCCAGAGCTGCTGGCAGCTCATGTTTAAATCACAAGGATGGATTGCTCTTGGGGAAGAATTTTTCTCATTTACACTTAGATGTAGACATCCAGATGTGTCAGCAACCCCACATATGCTTTATACCAGAAGAAGGGCACAGGCACCTCTAACACGTAATTTGACTTGTTTTAGGTCTACCCTAGAGGAGATGATTTTTGCTTTCCTTTTTACTGAGTGGATCCATCAATTCTACAATGACAATAAAAGAGTGTGGGTGACTCACACAGATGTAGATGTCCTTTTCTAACGAGTCCCACCCAGAAGTAGCCCTTTGGCAAACTGCAGGCCAGGAGAAACCGTGCCAGAGCGAAAAGGATGACTGTAAATTCCCACAGCTGGATCAAAGGGAAGGTCTGACCTGAAGGGCTGAGCGTGCTTCACCTCAAATCATGGCCCATATAAAAACACCACCCAGAGAGGGCCATGTGTGACAACTGGCAAGGCAATGGCAGACGGTTTGACCAACCCTACCAACCACCCAGGCCTGACTTCCTCTTGGGAAAGCTGAAGAGATGTGTGGGTGGGTGGTGGCTGCTGTTATTTTCTCCCCTTTCAGCACATACCACCGTAGAGTTGGAAGGAAAGATGAGTCATCATTCACCAGCCATAAGGTGAGAAACAATATTCTTCGTGTTTCATAGTATTCTGAGGAATCCTAATGCAAAGATCCAGGTTTCACTTAGCCATGGCAGGGCTAGTTTTGGAGAAGAAGATGGATGGGGCTTTTTTATTGTGCTCTTGGGAGACCAATTTAGGAGGCAGAAATGCAGCAGATGGAAAGAGGCCCAGAAGGCCATCAAGATTAGTATCATTGTGTTGAGGTTACTTTTGTATTTCACAAGCACGTGGCTTTTTCCACTAAGACCTTTTAAAGCCTATTAATACACATCGACCCCATCATCCCCTCTCCCATCACTTTCTGTGCAGAGCAATTACAAGGTACATAAACTCCTCCACTACCCATGGACAAACCTTGACACTTGGCCAATTCTCATACAGCTCCTTACTGTTGTTTGATGGTCACTCCTGATCTCTCATCTCCTCTGCCTCTGAAACTCTTTTGGTACATCTACATTTAACTCCCAGGGTTGTCCTAAGGATTTTCCTCATTATTTCTACTCAGCTCATGGTTTATGAGAGGGAAGGCATGGTACATTGTACAGACACTTGACTAATATACGACCTGTGACACACAACACCACAAGACTCTCCACCTGGTCTTCATGGGGAACAGCTAAAGTACAATGAACATTTTGCAGAATGGAAACCCAACAATAAAACTCTACTGATACTCAATGTTTTGAATTTTGTGTTTTGTCCCCAATGTTTTCAGAAGAAAATTTATTTTGAGTTGGTCTGAAATGACAGGTCATTTTGGAATGGTAGAAAATAGATTGTTTGGGAGTCAAATGAAGAACTGAATTGTTGACCTCTTACAATACCTAACTATACTGGTAATGAAAGTGAGGTGAAAATAGAAATCAACCATTATTTTCAGCTGAATTGGCGAAGCTTTTTGTTAAAAAGATCAGGAAAATGAGGCAAAGTCTTTGCCAAGGTCACGCAGAAGGTGTTGCTACATAAGGAAATACGCAACCACTTTTTTCTCCAGCCTGCACTCTTTTCCACCAGAAGATAGTCACTTTGAGTCTTTATTTTATCTGGGTTTCCTGAGAGTGTTTTTCCCAACTGCGCTTTTCCAACTCTGGTAGTAGCCTATAAATTGGTAGCTCCCTTTCTCGGATGGGGAATATTTTGCCACAACTTTCTGGAGTGCAAAGGGAAATTCCAGAGCCTTGACAGGAGAATGACACAGCCACGTTGGAGAATTCAGACAGCTTCTGGCAACAGCCAGCACCAGAAATATAAAACACTTTGTAGACTGACTGTTCTCCCTGTAGAACATGGTTTTTGGATTCTCCAACCATTTATTGAAGGCTGGCTTTCCGCCCTCTCTGCAACTCCCCCCTTCACCAGCTTCACTAGCAGATATTTGTTCAGATGTTTGCAACCATGGAAGAAATTATAAAACCTAAAAAATACCCTCTGTTAAGTTCTGGAGGGGAGTCTGGGATGTAGAAGAGGTCAGACATTGCCTGTACCGTCTGCTTGAAGTAGACACTAGCACATGGGTTGGGTCTCTGATGGAGAAGAGTAGAAGCTTAAGGGTACAACTTGTGGACAACACTGCAACACTTTCTGGGGGCTTCAGGCCTTCAAACCTCCCGGTAAGAGGGTGCTAAGAAGGAAAAAGGTCCATCTTTCAATCCACTTGTGTGGGGAAAGTGGGACTCTACCATTCCACACATAATTATGTGTGCCCCTTGCAAACTTTGCACTTGTGCCCCTTGCAATAAGATTATCTTAAGATGGAAGGTCTCAAACAGGACAGGGAAAACTTGTCATCAAATAATACATATGGTGGGTATGATATGTTAGAAAGTACCCAGGAAAAGTGAAAAGTTCTGTATTTAATTTGGTAAACAGCTTAAAGTAAGGAAAAAAAAAGGAGGCATTAGTATTAATATTATTATCATTATTTCACTATTATTTTGACATAAAATCCTTTCCCTTTGTCTTTCATTTCCAAAATGAAATGTTTTGTCTTGTAAATAATGACACCTTTGTCTTCTTCTTTTTTTTTTTTTAATTTTAGATTAAAATATTTTAAATTGAAATGGCATATTTT